TCCCTGGGCAGTGGAAGTCCTTACAGACCAGTACACAAAAGGGAAATTCATGACGGCTGATCCTTGACTCTGCCGGGCCAGGTGTTCACCACCAGCTTCTCTCCACCTGTCCACGCTCACCTCCATTTCACATGCCTTGGGCACATGTACACACACTGCTTCGCTAATAAATTCTACACCTTTCAAAAAGTGACAATTAAACGCATCTCTTTCTCATTAACGATATCATGAAGTCTGAGTCCAGTTTAAAGAATGAAAACATAGATTGTGTATTGGGCATATGTTGGGAAACGCCCCGCCTGGTTTCAGGGATTATAGCCTTGCCGACAGGCAAGAGGACCCCAAGGCTGGAGCTAATCAAGGAGGCCTTGGGAAAACAGGCCACTGAGGAGACAAAACCTGTCCCCCTGGTAGGGGCGCAGCCCCTGCCCTCCTCGCATCCGCCTGCTTGACCCCGTGATGGTCACTTGTTGATGACGGGTAAGTTCTCTCAAGAGGAGGGATGACCTAAGCCAGACATTGGCCGGTATGGGCAGCAGACAAGGACTTGGGGGACACAGAGAGAGGGAAAAAATGCCTGCACCCCTTGGCTTGGCTTGGACATGGCCAGAGTCCTCATTCTATCTGAAAGAAGTCTTCTCTCTTCATGGCTCTGCCCCACCCACCTGGCTCAGGCTTGAAACATTACTAAAGGCAGGTACTGCCCTAAACTGGATTGGGAGGTTCCCAGGGACGATCAGGCCTAGAAGTAAGTTCCTCTAAGCTTGCTCATTCTTCCCTCAAAAGTGATGATAACAGGCTCATACTGGGAAGGAGATTTAAGTTATTCATAGACCCTGACCTGAGGCAGATCTCTTGTCCTTCCTTAACGATATAATGAAGATCCTTCAATTGTCCCTGTCTGTTTTCTATAAACATAGCCATTGACACTGATTGATGAGCTTTGCTGTATACCCCTGTGCATATGGTTCTCAATAAAAGCCTTTGGACACAGTGGCTTGGAGCTTTTTCACCACTGGAGAGAGGAGTTCTCTTCCCTCTCCTAGCAAACAGAGAAATTTTCTGCGACGACTCATTTTGTTTGCCCCTATCCAGGACAACCCCGGGGACGGGCTCTGTGGGATCAGAGCTCTCGTTCCCACTTCAGCTGGCCCCGGACGGTAACCCTTAGATCCAGCAGCCCCGCGCTCCCTGCGGCAGGCATAAATAATATATTTACAAATATAGTTAAGATATTGTAAATTCGAACATTTAGAGGTATTTTATCTTTGGAGTCATTGAATGTTTCCTGTTGTTTAATTTTTGTTGTCTATATTTTACACAGCAGAATCTGATGTAGGCTCTGTGATTAATTATCACTGATCAATATGGACAGAATTCACACTTCCTTTTTGAACTTTCATAACCATACTTTGCAATTTTTACACAATAGATACAATGTACATTTTTCTTCACTTTGGGAGCTTTGGATTGACTTATGCTTCTTTATTTTCTTATTTATTTCTTTATTTATTAGAAGTTCTTGTTTTTTTTCTTTTTATTGAATTTATTGGGGTGACACTGGTTAACAAAATTATACAATTTTCAGGTGCTCAATTCCACAGCACATCATGTTTATACTGTATTGCATGTTTACTGCCCCAAGTCAAGTCTCCTTGATTCTTCATTTTCAATTATGTTGTGATAAAATACAATGGTAGTGCATGGCAGTAGTATGTGGTTTTGTTCTTAACAGTAGATTGCATTATATTTCATCCATAATTTAATAGATGTGAATAATGCTCCATATTAATATTCATTTACATTTTTTTCTGTAAGAACTTTAGTATTTTCATGCATTCAGCAATCTATTTTATATTTTAATTCTTTTGATGTGAACTTTCTTAGGCTGTATTTTAAAATATATTATTTGAAAATAAACTGGTTTTTTATTCCAAAAGATGGAATTTTAATATCACTGTTCACCATCTTAACCCCAGTAAACTTCAGACTTATAACTTATATAAAACTTATATAAAACTTTATATCTTCATAAAATATATGAAGATATAGCTGGACTCAAAAAAAAATTAAAGTTTTCCATGTATCACAAATAGAACTGAAGCATTACATGATAGGTGAGCTGGGGCCCAGTGGCTTTATTGATTTATGTCCATAGTAAGTGGATAGTTACTATGGCAGGTAATGAGAATTAAAGAATGAAAGTGGACCCCAATTTTATAACAAAAGTCAGCTCAGAATGATTTAAAGACTTAATATAAGAACTAAAACAGTAAAACTTCAGAAGAAAACTTAGGGGATAAACTCCTTGACACTGGTTTTGGCAATGATTTTTTTGGATTTGACACCAAAGCAAAGACAACAAATCAAAAATGAACAGGTGGGACTATATCAAACTAAGAAGCCTCTGTACTTGAAAGGAAACGGTCATCAAAATGAAGAGGCAATTTATGGAATAGGAGAAAAATTTTGCAAACTACTTATTTTATAAAGGGTTAGTATGCAAAATATATAAGGAACTCATACAACTCTATAGCAAATATACAAGTAATCTGTTTTTGAAAATGGGCAAAGGACCTAAATAGACTTTTTTTAACCAAAAACAGTTATGTCATGCCAACAGGTATGTCAAAAGGTTCTCAAAGTCATTCATCTTCAGCAAAATGCAAATCAACACCACAATGAGATACTGCCTCATGCATGTTAGGGTGGTTATTGTCAAAAGAAGAGACAACAATACTTGTGAAGAAGTGGAGAAAAGGCAACACTTCAACACCGTGGTGGGACTATAAACTGCCAAGTACTGTGGAAAACAGTAGAACATTTTCTCACAAAATTAAAAATAGAAAAACCATATTCTCCAGCAGTTCTCCCTCTGGGCATATGTTCAAAGGTAATGAAAACAGGATCCCAAAAGATATCTGTGCCTCATGTTTATTGAAATGTTATTCACCACAGCCAAAATACGGAGACAACCTCACTGTCTGTCAATTATGAATCGATAAATAAAATGTGATATAAATATATGAATATCTTTAGCTATGAAAAGAAAAAAATCTTTTCATTTGCAACAACAAGAACAGACTTTGAGAACCTCATGCTAAGTGAGATAATAAGACAGAGAAAGGCAAATGTGCGACATCTTTGGTGCGGAGAAACTAAAAAGCTGAATTCACAGAACCAGAGACTCATGGGTGGTTACCAGGGGCTGGGATGGGCGTGATTGGGGAGATGCCAGTCAAACTTCCAGTTATAAGTTTAACAAAATGTGGGATCCGATTACAGCCGGATGATTATGGCTGACAAGACTGTATTATACACTTGAATATTGCTCAGAGAGTAGATCTTAAAAGTCTCAGCGTGCAAAAAAATGGTAATTATGTGGCAGGATGGAGCTTTAGCTATACTATGGTGATAATCATTTTGTAAGAAATAAATGTATCAAATTAACAAGTTGTAAACCTTAATCTTACATAGTGTAATATACAATTATATCTCACAAAAGTTGGGAGAATGGTCAAATACTGGAAATCAGATACTGGCAGGGTCAATCAAATTTCTGTTGCTGTGGTTATATTACCTCCTCCATTTCTTTGTCACTCCCATTTCTGTCTGTTATATGATATAAGCATTCATGTGATTATATTTAAGGCCCATGCAGATCATCTGGGATCAGCTCCACTTGTACAAAGACCCTAATTTAGGTAAGGAAAATTCACTGTTTTCTCATGTAACAATAAGTTAGGACAGTGATTTTCAATCTCTTTCATCTCACAGCACATATAAACTAATTAATAAAAATTCTGTGGCACACCAGAAAATACATTTTTTGCCAGTCTGACAAAATTATATATGTATGTGTGTGTATATATATATACATATATATATAATTTTGATTCATTCACATGGGATGGCTATTGTTGTGTTGGCTGTTGTCATTTTTTTTTTTTAGGTTGACAATTTAAAAGTAAAAGGTCAGTGCCCCTGACTAAAGGGTCAGGTGCTGTGTGTTTAAAAAATTCTGTGGCACACCAGCGTGCCGCGACACACAGATCAAAAGTCACTGAATGAGGGGCATAGAATGTAGATAACATTATGAGGGCCTTTATTGAGCCCAGTACAGAAATATCTTTGGTTGACCATGGAAAATCTTTAATTACCTGATTCCAGGACAGCCTGAGTTCTTTCTCAGGCAGTCATGTCCAGGGATGACATCTCCATCTGGCGCCACCACCTGGTGACTCTGAGGAGAACCAGTTCTAAGACAAGGCAACACCTGGGGGGGATTGAATGAATTCCTGCAACTCTGTTCCTCTGCATGTCTTACGGCTCAAGTCCTTGTCATGGAAGCTAACTCTATTGTTCGGCACGTCAGAGTTAAAGACGTTCTCTTATTAGAATCAAAGACTTCCCTGCTGATGAAGTTCAAATACCTCACAGTCCTCTCAAACCACTGACATAATCTAGTTATGCAAATTACATAGATAATGAAACTGAGTATGGTAGCTGAAAATGTTTCTCAAAAGAATATGCTTTACCAGTGAAAACTCAAATTAATTAGTAAATAGGTGTGTAAAAAGTCAGTTCCCTTACTGCACTATAGGCCTAATTCCAGGGTGAAATGGACATGCCCCTCCCATGGGGATTGGGTGGAAACTAGCCCCGATAGACACAACCACAGCCTTGCTTCAATGCTTCCCCTGTCTTGTTCGCTCTCTGCAACTTTCCACCTTGTGAAAGTGATCACCACCCCCTCCCCCGAAATAAAAGACTAAAACTAGAACCCTTGCCTCAGGCTCTGCTTCTATAAACCCTGAGCAAAGAAATTGAGTTATGAGAATTAAAATTATGTCAAATGTCATAGAGCTAGACAAGAAGGTAAATCTGGGTTTCAACTCCAAAGTACAATTAGCCTGGTCATCATGTTGTGTAGCCATTTTAGAACTTGGTGATGGAAGAATCATGCATTGTGGCTCACACAGGATTTCTATCCCTTTCCCTCATTCTAGAAACTCCAGCCGAAAGTAAATGGCACAAAATCAGAAAAGAAGATATCCTACCGATGAGTTTCTTCAAAGCTCGTTTCATGTCCCTGTTCCTCAGGCTGTAGATAAAGGGATTCAGCATTTGAGGAAACACAATGTACATCATTGAAGCCACAGCAGTCTTCCGGGATGAGTCAGTAACTGTAGAAGTAATGTACACTCCAAAAACCGTCCCATAGAACAAGGAGACAACGGAGAGGTGAGACCCACAGGTGGAAAAGGCTTTCAGCTTCCCCCCGGCCGATGGCATTCTCAAAACCGTGGAGACAATTTGAGTATAAGAGAAAATGATTCCACACAGAGGAATACCACCAAATAGGCTAGCCACAAAATATATCAAGAAGTTATTGATGAGGGTATCCGAACATGCAAGCTTGAGGACCTGAGCCAGCTCACAGAAAAAGTGAGGCATTTCCAGGTCCTTGCAGAAGGACAGCCGCAACACCATCAGACTGTGGAGCACGGCAACCATGGTACTGAGGAACAGTGAGAGTACAATGAGCAGAACACAGAGACGGGCATTCATGATAACTGTGTACCTCAAGGGGTAACAAATGGCCACATAGCGGTCATAGGCCATGGCTGCAAGAAGAAAATTCTCAAATCCTCCCAAAACCAGGACAAAGCCAATCTGGGTGAGGCAGCCCATAAAAGTGATGCTCTGACTCTGTGCTTGTATGTTCGCCAGCAACTTCGGGAGGGTGATTGTGCTTATGCAGATGTCAGTGAAGGACAGGTTGCAGAGGAAGAAGTACATGGGCGTGTGCAGGTGGGAGTCAGAGCTAATGGCCAGGATGATGAGCAGGTTTCCCAGCACGGTGGCCAGGTAGATGAACAGGAACAGGTAGAAGAGGGGGGTCTGCAGTTCTGGATCGTCCGTCAGTCCCAGCAATAGGAATTCTGAAACACCTGTCTGGTTGCTAGGCTCCATGTTGTTGATGAGTCTGATGGAAAAGACAGGGTGAAGAGAAGATAAAATGAATGGTCTGCAGGCAGATAACAGCAACATCAAATGGGAACTTGGCACCACATTAGACTTCCTGTGATAAACTCTGGGAGCCACAAACAGAAACCAATGTTTTATCAAACCCTCCAGGTGAATTTCATGTGTGCTAAAGTTTGAGAACCAGGTCTTAAACAAGAAGGAAAAAAGCCTCTGCTTATATGGTGAACCCAAGAGACATTCAGATCTCCTCTGCTAATTTCTCCTGCCATCATCAACTCCCCCCTTGCTCTTCTCTTCCCTCCCTTGATTGGCTCAGATGTGTGTTGGTCACCATCTTTGTTTCCCACCTTGTGTCTAGTGCTGAGGCTGAAACAAAGAGAGGACACGGCATTTCTTTCAGAAATACTCCTTTGTCTTCAAACATACAGAAAGATGAGAATGGGGTTATTGAATCTCTCCTGTTGGGCATGGTCCCCAAACTTTGACATGCTCAGGACCATCTGAAATATTTGTTAAATTACTGGTGAGTTAGATCATCAAACACCCATTTACCCATGAGGACATTTAGATAACATGAAATTGTGTCATGGGCACTAAGTGTTCAGCGGGTGGAAAGGACAAGGGCTCGGTACGTTACCTGACTGCCTAGCTGACTGACCAGCCATTCATAATGCGTCTGGATAATAGAGAATGGGCATTCTCTAAATCATCCCTCACATTTTATAATATCCGTTCAAATTAGTCATGGGGATGTAAAGTACCACACAGAGAACATAGTCAATAGTGTAGTAATAGTTATGTATGGTGCCAGGTAGGTACTTGAAATATGGAAGAGGGGCGACTTTGTGAAGTATTTGTCTAACCACTGTGCTATATGCCTGAAACTCATGTAAAATAACTTTGAATGTAGACTTAATCAAAAAATAAAATAGCCTTGGCTGGTGTGGCTCAGTGGACTGAGTGCCAGCCTCCAGACCGAAAGGTCGCCGGTTCAATTCCTGGTCAGGGCATGTGCCTGGGTTGTGGGCCAGGTCCCCAGCTGGGGATGTGAGAGAGGCAACTGATCGATAGTTCTCTCTTGCATTGATGCTTCTCTCCCTCTCTTTCTCCGTCCTTTCCCCTCTTTCTAAAAGTAGGTAAATAAAATGTTTAAAAAGTAAAATAATTTTTAAATATGTTCATCTTGAACAATACCCCAAACCTTTTATCTTCCCTACAAGATTTCTAACCTCGAGGTGAGATCGTTACCCTGGAAACGGTGTGTTGCAGGTTACGGCATCTATCTAAGTATACGCTCTACACCAGAGCAGAGATTTAAAACTGTTGCCTATGAACTTGGAGCTCAGAAAACTCTCCAGTGGAAACTCTACTCGTCTGCATTAGTGATTAATTGTGAGAGGCTGGGTGAATGTTGATGACATCCTCTGTCTCACCCTGCAGGGATTTCTTCCCCTGAGGTGATAGGTGGCCTATTATTAAAAAAGAAAAAAAAAAAAAAACCCCAGCTAAATAATGAGAGAAAGAATACCCTCCCCTCAAATAGAGGAAAATAACAATTTTTGGTGCTTAGAAGATCATTGCAAGATGAGACAGATTTATATGATATATAAAAGATAATGAGGCACCCCAACGCCGTGCCCTGGACAGCAGGGGTGCTCCGTGCCTGGGGAACACAGGAGGCCATGACAGCCTACACCACTTGGCGTGTCACTTCAACTCAGACCAGCACCCACTTTGTGAAGGCAGGAAATTGTTCACCTCTATGAAAAGCCTGGCATTCTCACTTGTGTGGTGGAAACCAACGTACAATCCCATGGGCATGTTGCAATGGCGAACAATGAATAGAGGAGGAGTATCTAACAGCACTCAGCATACAGTACCCTCATGTGAACATTTCCTATTGTGTTGTTGTTGCTCTGCCACAGAAAACAGCACCTTGCAATGTTTCCCTGCACACAAGGAAACAATTGGGTGGGCAAGTAGCCAGGTAAGACCATACAAAGAGAGAATAACCCTAGCATGATAACTTCAAATTTCAAGGAAAAGCTTATGAACTGAAACTCCAGCTGGGAACATTTATCACAGAGAAAAGGAATAAAGACATCATTAATTATATTAATATTCATTTGAAATGGACATATGACGAAATATAGCAATTAAAAATTAAATAATAAAGTGGAATAGATATATGAATAATGAAAACCTATGAGAAATATTTCTGAAAGACACAAATGTACATGATTAGAAAATTTCAACTATAAATATATTTTAAATCCATGATATTCAGACAAAAAAATGATGGATAACAGTGAAGGACTAGTTACTCACCAGTAAACAGTATCAAATTGGTATACTTCAAGCCAAGGTTGGGTAGCTCCATTGGTTAGAGCATTGTCCAGATATACCAAGGTTGTGGGTTCAATCCCCAGTCAGAACACATACAAGAAGAAACCAGTAAATACATAAATTAGTGGAACAGCAAGTTGATGTTTCCCTTTCTCTGTCTCTCCCTCTCTCTCTCGAAAACCAATTTTAAAATTATTTAAAAACTCTCAGAGAAGAATATTTTTAAATTCACACACTTCATTGTCTTCATTCCATGTGCTTTTATTGCAACAAATAATCTGTGTGAAGCCCACAGCATGTATTTGTACAATCTTGATTCTTTTCCTTCCCCAAGGGGAACCACTATATGCACTTCATATACATATTCTCTTGCACTTTTTACTATAATTAGCATCATTGCTCCATAAACCATTGCATTATTTTGCATTTTGGAAGCTTTATATAAACAGAACCATGCAGAACATGTCATTTAAATTTGGCATTCTTGTGTAATTTATCTTTTCTTTATTGTTGGTATATTTATCCTGCTTCATTAATTTTAATTATGAGAGAGTATTCCAGTGTATCATTTCAAGTTTTATTTCTCCAGTCTCTTTACATTATGGATATACTTTATGGTAAATGCCTGTTATCTTACACACAGTTATGAAGACACATAAAACATAAAGGGATGGGTGGGAGATATTGCTAGGAAGGGGAGAGTAAAAACTGATGGGGTACAAAAGAGGTGACTTCTATATAAATATTATTTTGGTATTTTATTAAAAAAGATCTGCAGTTTCACTTAGCGTATTAATTTTCAGGTCCATCCATGCTGTCACAAAAGAAAAGGTTTCTTCGTTTCTCACAGCAGAGTAGTGTTCCAGGTGCCAATCACCGCAGCCGTCATCCACTCATCTGCTGATGGGCACTTGGGCTGTTTCCAGAGCTTGGCTATTGTAAATAATGCTGCAATGAACATAAACCAGGCAGAGAAAGACAAATACCATATGATCTCACTTGTATGTAGAATCTAATGAACAAAATGAACTGCCCAACAACAGAGGCGTGGACGCAGGGAACAGACTGACGGCTGTCAGAGGGGAGGCGGGTTCGGGGGCTGGAGGAAAGAAGGCAAAGGGCTTGAGCAAAAAAACGTATATACAGAACTCAGACACAGACAGTAGTGTGGTGAGGGCCAGAGGGAAAGGGGGTGGGGCGGGTGGAGGTGGGCAAGGGAGGGAAATGGAGACGGAAAGAGACTTTGCTTGGGGTGACGGGCGCAGGATGCGGTGTGCAGATAATGTTTCGTTGAGTTGTACACTTGAAGCCTGTGTGGTTTTGTGACCCTCATGTTGCCCCAATAAATTCAATAAAAAAAGACCTGAAGTTGATATAGCAGAATGCCAACAAATTTGTTAATTCTGGGCTAAAGAATGGTCATATATTTTTGATTTGTTATATTATGTCTGCTGTTCTTATATAAAATGCCTGGTAATTTTATAAAGAGAAACAGGTGTACTAGGAAGGCAGTCGGGTGAATATCTCTGTGTTTGCATTTTCTCTCCTGTGTTTCCACAGCCCAGCTACAGAGATAATGCAAACACCCCTCTCTACATGGCATATTATAAACCAGGCATGAAAAGGAGAGGAAAACCCTTTTGAAAATGCCTTCCCCCATGACCGCCACAAGAATTCGGGTAAATGTCAGACAGTTTTGTAACAGTCATCATGTTTGAGGACGGGCAGATTTCTGCTTAGGAGGATAATGGGTTTTTCTATTTTCTAGAGAACACAGAACATCAGGTTGAGAACTGGCTGAGTACTGGTACAAACGCACGTGGGAACTTGTTAACAAGAAGACAGGCTGGAATCCCATGGGACACATAGTTGTGATCATTTCATGCATATACTTCTTTACATGCTTCCCTTGAATAAAATTGTAAAACACCTGCCTCATTTCCAAAGCAACAAGAGACTGTAATTACCTGGCTGGCATCTGTGTGCAACGATGCTTGACGTGACACCTGGATGTTAAGATGGAAGCTCTGTCCACGGGAAGGGCAGGGAGACCAAGGGCGGCAATGGGCTCCTGGTCAGTGAGGGTCACGGCTGGACAGAGGCTCAGGTGCGCTGCTCCTGACTGGGCAAGGGCTTTTGAGTGAGGCTCTCACAGGCTGACTCTTTACAGTCCCTGTATCCCTGAGGATCAATATCCAAAGCTCCTCATGAGACAAATATTTTTAGTGTCATTCTCATCCCTGGGCATTGCAACTCCTTTAAGAGCAAGACTACAGAAGAGAGAAATTAACGATGGCTAATCCCCAACCCTATTAGGCCAGGTTTACACCACCCAGTTCTCTCCACCTGTTCACGCTCACCTCTGCTTCACGTGCCTTGGGCTCACGTACACACGCTCCTTTGCCAATAGAGTCTACCTTTTTAAAAAACTTTCAAACAAAGCCATCTCTCTGTAATTAATATTATTAGGAAGCTTGATTTACTCCCTTGTAAGGGAATAAATTTTTAAACATTAGGTATAAGTACTATTTTATAAATATAGCTAAATATTGTAAAGTTCAAACATTTAAGAATATGTTATTTTTAGAGCCATTGAATGTTTCCTGTGCCTTAATTTCTGTTATTTATATTTTATACAACAGGATCTTATTGATTCACTG